TTCGGAGTTTCGTGAGATGCGCACTGCTGATGATTCCCAATAAGAATGAAACAGCTGTACAGTGCTTCTCGGCTTTTCAGCATAGATTGGTTTCACTTACTGGACGAAATCTCCACACACACAAAATCCCAAATCTCCTCACACTACCAACAATATGGATTTCTAGTTCGTCTGGTTATACCGATATACGTCCGAAACTTATTTCTCACAGTAAGCCAGAACGTCTTTGATAGAATACAAGGTGATATCGGATAGCCTCTAACGCGCAAATGGACTGAGTTGTTCAGTGTTGAAGTGAAACGAAAATTAGCAAATGTTTTATAATTTTCGAAATTCACCCATTCGAGGTGTTTGTATCTGGCTTGACCTGCCCGAATTGCCGACCCGTGATTCACTCAAGTGGAAGCAGAATTCGCACATTCTTCGAGGTCTGTTATTGTGACAAAGTACTACTTGACTGGAGAGTAACTGTCCGTGAACCTGTTTTGGTCCTCGAACGAGCATATTTCTGAAGGTGTTTCCCTCCTCGTATAACAGCAGCCCCATAGCCTTCATCGAGCACGAAAAAGAACACGTCACCCACTAGTCGAAATTGATTGATTGCTTCATTGTGCTCGGTGTAGGTGCTGTTAGAGAAAATTGAGGCATATTCACCTATTTCGTCGGCATTCTCTCCTGTTTTTGGTAACTCTGAACATCGGTATTCAGAGGGATCCTAAAGCTGAATTAGAGGCTTTAAATAGTCGATTTGGATAGAGGGGATTTTGAATTTTCATGAATAGAGCTCTCATTGGGATCTGAGTGAACACAGTAGTTGCTAGGCCATGAAGTATCTGAGGCAAAACTAAATAGACCAGAGGCATCTGGTACATGGCAAATCGGTTGCTAGACAGTTTTGAATCTGTTCTTAGATGAATTCGGCGGCAAAGTATTAAAGTTTGAGTCATGAGTCTTTAGAAAAGACTCTGAGAAGGTTCCTTTTTGGACAAATTCGTTCACCTTATTTCCAGCGGGTTGAGTGTATAAACACATCAGCCGGATGAGGCCAGATCCCTTATTCATAAAACGAGAACCCGTTTGCCTTACCGCTGCGTGACACACTCGGTTTAACTGCAAAGCAATATTGATCAAATACCACAACCAATCTTGTGTGCAAGGCATATTACTCCGCAAGGCCACGCGTCAAGGTTACTAACTAAGCGATTCCAACTCAGTATCTTGTGGTCATTCAGTTTTTGTTGATCACATTTGATGTACTGCGATATTGTGGCGGCTGTTAAGGTCATCTGAAACGTTGTCGTGGCCACATTTTAGGACACTGACAGTTCAGTGCTAGTTCAAACTGATATATAAACGGCGTTCGTTTCAAGAAAAATAAAATTTACTTAACTACCAAATATGACCTTCATCATTCAAGAAATACACTTTGTTGTTTTGTTCAACCGTACGAAAAGATTCGCAAATATTTCTGTACGCGTAAATTTTTATTTGTTTATGTCCAGCGCTCATCTATATTTCAGGTGCTTCGCTTATGAGAAAGTATAACATACATAGCTTTGTCAACTCACTATCCAGCCTTGTCAAGACCTGAAGGATATCTCAGGTGGGTTATCAAATCACGTATCGATAGTAATTGGCAGCAGCAGAAAAACGATCCCCATTATTGTGGCACAACGATGCTAACCAAGGTGCGACTCATTTTGCACATGGAGTGAGGGACTGGCAGTGGTGCCACAGGTCGCACCGAGTCTACTGCAGAATGTCACAACAGCCCAATGAAAACACGACGTGGCCAGTATTTCCTTGTCATAAGGACGCTTTGCATAACACGAGAATAACATGGGTCCCTAGTCATTACTTATTTCTACCAATTTGACGTACGAAATGCGACAATTTCGCAGGCAACGATGGGAACCCGTTGCCATTTGGGTCCATTTGGTTCTGCAGAGGATAGATGAATAAACTTCAACAGACAACGAAATTGACGGTGGAGGCGGATGGGGTTATACAGAATTTAGCACCCTTCAGTCACTTTTACTCTCCATGCCCTCCCGTATTCTGTGCAGTTTGTACTTGGTGTTTTGAAGACAAGGGGTGCAACCCCGAGCAAACGTTGTGTGACGCGGATTAAGCCGCTGGTATTCCTGCTTACTTCCTGGTTATTTACCGGATGCGAATTTCTGTTTATGCTGTGATGCCCAAGCAAGAGACGCTTCTGAAATTCGCTTAGACATTACGTTGAAAATTAGCTGGCAGCGCCTCTGGCATCTTCCCTCAAAGTCAGAAAGACATGGCGTATATGTTGATGGAATGTCTGTGCTCATCTTGACACGGCGAAGCCAAATTCTAATTATGCGAGCTCGTTTTTAATACAAAGTTGACTTTGTTTGCCTATTGGAGACATAGGTTCCTGGCTTCGGTTCCAGTCTCAGGGACTAGATACTCATACGGGCCTTAATGTCGCCGCCCAACCTGTGAGTTGGGCCTGTACAGCGTGGGATTTCCTTTCTACTGAAAGCCGAACTAATATAGGATTTCAGCATCTCCTCTCAAAATCTTTCCAGTGAATCTGACTGACACATGTATACCCATATTCCTTATCTTCTCTCCCTCACAAACCAGTTTCAGAAAGGACTACGAGGAATGATTCATCGTACGCCTACAATGCTGTCGTGGCAGATTGGAGGTGGAGGGTGGGTATTTGGACAGAACCACCGGTGCTATCGCTAGCAAGTTTAGTTTGGGATGACACTGAGAAAAAGCAACTAAAAGACAAATTTCATTGCCTCAAATCAATTCACGTTTTCGGCATTCAATGAAGTATCCACCCGTCAAGTGCCCCAATAACTTTCGCAAAGCTCAAAAAGCCTATATTCCGGCGTAAAGTTCGACTATAACACCCTTTTGGTGCCTAACTGTCATGCTTTCCTAAGGAAGCGCGAAGGCTGGGATACTGCCAGGTTGCTTAAGCCTAGATAGGAGAAGTCGAGAGGCAGAGTTTGGGTTCGAATCGCGGAAATTCCGGGCAGTATATCCGCGCTCTAAGAACTGAACCATCTCCCCCCTACATTTTGGTGGCAGGGTGGCAGACCCGTTTGATGAAGACTGTAGGTTTTATGGTGTGACCGAAACTGGGAATAGGTGCAGTTTAGCCGATGTACTAGCTAGTGCATTGCTAGTGCACACCATTAAGACTTGTGATGTTTTGTACCTTTATTTTGCTTTCATTATAACACTACGTATTTCATCAATTGCATAATCGTTTTTTGTTTGAATACGAAAAACTGCAAAAACGCGCACTTGTGCAATTGCACAGGATACAAGCGTGGTCACGTGCTTCGACTCTTCTGATTTCGCTTGCGCTTGCAGCGGCCATTCGCGAGTCTCACGTTCTTACTCTGGCATCAAAACATTTCAGACCATCTTCGGAATCTATTATATGTGGGAACTGTTCAGAAGAGGATCCCTGTTCCACTATAATTGGATTATTGTTTATTCGCTGACCTGGGCCAGCGACGAACTCCTCTAAAGAGGACAAGTGTTGGTCAGTCTATTCCATCTGACCTCTTTATTATTGCATACTCAACCTAGCATCATTATTTTTATTTCTTTGCCACACACTCCTGGTAAACTAACTTATTGGGTATTTGTCTAGCCTTCGAGTATCTATTCCTATGATGTGCGATAGTTTCATAACCCCCGCTTCGTTAATCCAAGTTGTTTATATATACATACCCGCTGACTTTTTTGCCTGTTAGAAGCAGAGAAGCCACGAAGGACGGAAAGAACGGTATTTATGCCCTTGATATAAACTGTGCCATGGAATACACCGAACCTCAGTTTCTTTAACCTAAATGGTGGGAAGATTGAGCGATTGCAGCCATCGTATCACCGCACGGCGTTCGATAGCTCCCTTATTTTCAGTGTTTAGGTGATTTCTTGACTGCGTATTTCTTGAGGCTGGTCAGTATGTGAGGTTTGACCATTTCATAACCTGCGAAGGACTGGTTTGGCAGACTACTTGATTAGCGGCAAAACGATGCCAAGCGTGAAGGTTCTGTCCATTGCTTAAGGACGAAAGGGAAGTGGGACATAAGAGTCACATGATTTTAATGATAAAATTGCCTTATTGTTGGGCAAACGCAATCGTTACTACATTATTCCCAGATGTAATGGGACCATTTTCTTCAAAGTGAGAAATTTGAAAAAGTTCAGAATAAATTCGTTTTGGCGTCTCAGTGGAAATCACTCAATGCTGGTATTAAGTACAATTTACCGAAATGCCATTACGCGGCAGCCAAAACAACCACACTTGCGGTAGGTTATCAATCACGGTAATAGGTTACCAAAGTCAGTGACTGTATATAACACGTTAGAGCCTAAGGCTCAACTGGGAACATTTTGTATTTCTTTATTGTATATCAAAACGCCCCGCATGTAAGTAGAAATACAGGTTACTGAGGGTCAAATCAAGTCACCATGTGCTACGCTGCTCCCCTCTCGGTCGATACACGACCCTACCATTGTTAACAGCATCTGTAACTCCTAGCGTGGGTCAAGTGGTGACCTGTTCTGTTCGTTGGTATACAAGTAAAAACACGGTGGGAAAAGCAGACGGATAGACTCCAAGCAATGAAGTTTGGTTAT